ACAAGGGCCTTTTTTGTTGTTGCTTTTAAAAAAAGAAGGCTTTGAATCAAATTCTTAGCCTTTCGGTCAAACATGAGTAGATTTCTTGTGCTCAGCTTCTTGTGGTGTTTGGCTTCTTTCATATTTGATGATTCAGTCATTGCAGTTTGTGATAGCAATTGTTTTGCTCCGTCCCAAAGACTTAAGCTCAGGAATTCAACCCTGTCATCACTTTGGCTCATGGTGCACAAATTCTGTCCATCTGTATACTTCAACAAGGAGTCTGAGAGGTGATAAATGAGGCAAATATTGTAGCTTACCAAAAGGGTATAACAAGTAGAAAATGATGGCCACAGATTGAATTTGTGCAGTAGGTAATCAGTATACATTTTTATCTGATGGAGCATATGTCTACTACAGATTGTCCTCCCTTACTGATCACCCATTCAGCAACCATTTAAAGTTAACAATGGCACCAAAAAAGGGAGATTTACAACCCATGCTCAAAGTTGTGGCTGTTGTAGTATCCTCGTAGTCACATGATCCCAATTTGTGTGCTTGGCAACTGGGGCACATCCACGATGGCCACAATGTCACACAATCATGTGATGGCCATTTGTGTCCCTCGCAGCCAGCTTCCAAAAAGCAAATTCAAGGGGGAAACCAATAGGAAGTTGCATTTCACGTAACAATTGCACCACTTTGCAACAGAGTTCCCAACTATAGTCGGTAAGTGAGGACACCCTGTATTAACAAAAGTACAACATTCCAATAACCTCAATAGAGTGCTCTAAAAAGATTGTAGAAAACTCTTAAAAGGGACATCAGCCTTGCGTTAGCAAGCAATAGTATTAGCTTTCTGTGTGATTATTTCAAGTGCATTTTCTGCTACAAAATATTCTCCTGTGGTTTTAGAAAGCCCAGAGCAAATCTGAGTGTTACAGTACTTACTTTGGATTTTTTTATTGTTGTTAATAACAATATTCAATAGAGTATCAAATAGTATTTCTAGCCCCTGTACAATGTTGCAATAAAATGCAGTAAACCACTAAAGGAACACTACTCTGTAAGATAGAATTGGTACAATAATACAAATATAAAGTGTAGCCACCATCAGAGAATAACAAGCCCTAAAATAAGATATTATAAAGGTGATCTTAACATAAATAATATATTTATTTATTATATTATTTTAAAATCATTGAAATAGAAAAATAACTGTACATGTTGTCAAAGCAATAGTAATGGGAGCACATGGAACCAATTTCACTTGCAAGAACAATCTAGATTCAATGCTATTGCCTAAGTCATTATTCCTACTATTGAAGAATGAATATTGTAGCATTATTTCAGGAAAGGTTTTAATAAATGACTTTGGAGTTTGGGTAGATATCTGTGAGAGTGTGCACTGAATCACCTGAGATTCCAAAGCAGTTTGTTTTGTAGATTCAAACCACAATTTTGAATTAGGCTAATAAAAAGGTAGAAGTCAAGATTTAAGTGAGAAGTGGCAAACATGGCTGCAAAATTCCAATGAATTTCTCAGGATTATTTTTATACTACCTAATGATAGGTTATCTTTAAAAGCACACCCACATACATTATATTAATATATGTGGAACATTAATTGTGGTGGATTATACACTTCCAGACAGAATTAGAATGTGATACCAACTGATAAAAAGCCATGCCACAGAATCTGTTAGTGCTTCTTATAGCATAGTGATGGTAAACCTTTTTGTAAACACATGGCAAAATTGTGTGTGTGCACACAATAGTGTGCCTTCACCCACAATACAATGTGCCCTGCCCACCTGCGCATGTGTGTGCATGTGGAGGGATTTTCACCTTCTCCAGGCTTCAGAGGCTTTCCTGAAGCCTGGGGGAGGGTGATAATGGCCTCCCCTTGCCCTCCGGAAGGCCGAAACTCAGCTGGCTCCTGCATGCATGCATGCTGGAGTTGACGGCTCGCATGTCAGCAGATATGGCTCCATGTGCCAACTGTGGCACGTGTGCCATAAATTCCCCATAATGGTTCTAGCCGTTACGAATCCAGAAAGAGTCCCAGAGTTCCTAACCTTTTAGGGGAAACATAAACCCTTTAGAAAAGATTCAATCCCTTAATTTGCTATGAAACACTATTCCGATGGTTTGTTTCAGATTTGTCTGAACACCATTCTATTTAGCTTCCTTCAACAAATGACAATAGCTAAGTATCAATTAAGAGAGAATTAATATACCATTCACTACTTCCCCTTTCCACGACACTGCAATTCCTTGATTTAAAGTATTCCCAAATACAAAACTGCAGGATTATAGAGAATGCCTTGTCTTGAATACAACTAGTGGTTTACTTCAAAATTCAGCACAGGAAATGTGGGCCTATGTAAGCAGAATCTATTGCAAAACTCGTTATGATGGAAAAACACCAGAAATTCTGTTGCTAAAACAAATCTTGCCTTAGTGAGATCACTATGAGTAGAATAAATAGTATTATAAACTAGTGGGATACAATGTTATCATATATTTGCATACGCACATTAGCATATTTTCTAATTTAATCAACTTGACTGCAGCCCAAAAATTAAATGAGGGGCCAGTAGCATAATTTTAAATATATATTTTAAATATATATTTCTTACTGCATTTATAATAATTCACTCTATCATCAACACAATTAGATTTTTTTAAAACCTCATTAAAAAGTATTCAAATTAATATGTGCCAGTGTATCTTTTGTCAGTTTTCAGACATTCCTAGTTTTTAGACAAATAAATTCTGAATTAATTAAATTAAATGTTAGACTTGCTTCTGAAAAAAAAGCATAGTTAAAAGCATATTGACACTATTTGCTTTCTTAGATTAGCATATTCTTCCATTGCATGTTAGCAATATCTCTCTGTGTCCAAATTCAATCCAGTAACAGTCAAAACCAATAAATATTAAATTTGTTCCTGGCTGAAGCTTGAGGAACATCCAATAAAAAGTGAAATCATTTGGCTTGTTTCATATATCTCTGACACAATAGATTACATCAATGGAAAGGAATAAATCAATCAGTAATATATAAGAAAAAGATTCTTGAAATAATGGATTTCCTTAAGAAGGCTCAAAATCAGTATCATGACAATGGGAAGAGAAAACCAGAGAAGATAATGAAGACCTGAGGAAGCAAGTGGAGAAGAAAAACAGAAACAAAAAAAAATAATCCTCTATTTGTATTCCCAATATCCTACTTCCTCAAGTGGAATGTTACAGAAAGAATTTTAGTCTTTACTGATCCTCAAGTCACAAACTCTGAGCTGTAGTCCCAATTTCATGCTAAGATTGTTTCCTAAGAAAAGAATATCAACTAATTTATATTTACAGGAAGGCTATAATATACATGGGTGTTTGCATGGATACACACACTTTTTAAAATAACTTGACATACTACTTCATAAAATAATTTAGGAGGTCATAAAGATTATATCTGAAAAACTAGAATTCCTTAACTAGGAGTGAATTAATCACTTAATCTAGTACTCCTTGATATGGTAAGCAGATGGATTTATTTTAAAAAGTGTCTATGTCTGCATGTACATTATGGCCTTCTGATAAATATAAATCAGTCCATGTTACTTCCTCAGATAGCAGTCTGAATGTGAAGCTGGGACTATAACTCTCAAATTAAGTGATTAGCTCCCTCATCACCAATAGAAGGCAATCTTTGAGCTATGATCCAAAATTATATTTGCAATTCTGATAAGACTGGCATTTTATACTTGCTAATAACATTTAACATTCCATTGCCTAACAAGTTGGAACATAAGCATAATTAGGCAATATTAGAAGAGATTCAGAAGCAAAACCTTTTCCTTTAAATAATGTTTAGGGAACATCTACAAGTTCCACATTTGAAACAGTTTCTTCCAGTTTTTATTTACTTCTCAAAACTAAAGATCACTCTTATTGCAGTGTGTGATTCAGGTTTTTTATGAGAGCAAAGTCAAAATAGAACAAAAGCTGGGTGGCCAAAAGAACAAGCCTATATAATTGCAGTATGGGAAAACTTTTTAATAGAAATTGTATGGAAGCTCTATTTTCTTTAAATACACTCAGTTTTTAAATACCTGAAAAATTACCGGACCTCAGGAAATTTAATTTTCCCACTACCCAAATAGGGCTTATAGATGCTGGTAAGCCATACAGTTATAGGCATTATTATGGGTCACATATAATTTTCTCTTTCTCCACTCTAAAGGCCTGTCATCATTAGAAGCTACAATCTTAACCTCTTTCCTAAGTATACTTTTGAAATAAAACACTGCCACCTATAATTTGTTTTGAACTGAGAAGCATTCAGTTTATCCAATATTACCACATAACAGTAGTTTTCAAAAGTACCTTTTAAAAGTGTGTGTATATATGTATCCGCACTTACCCACATTTAATCTAAAAGAAAATATAATTCCCAAAATGCATATACTCAATCACATGAGAAGAGGACGTGGGAAATTATGAGCACAGAGCTCAAGTTTCAGAGATATGCCTCTATGCACCTGATGAAGTAAGTTACACAAAATCTTATACCTTTTAATATAATTTGATAGTCTGAAAGACTTTCAAAGTTTTTTTTGTTATCATAATCTAACAGGACTGTCCTAAAAGTTCCATGGACCAATAAGTCTTAGACAAGTGATCTTCCATTTCCCTTTAGGGATCCATTTTGGTTTCTTAGAAAAATAGCTCTTTAAGTGTCCCACCACTCTAATATGATTTACAAATGAAGCTCAGAAAGAGTCATTCTTTTGTCCTTCACTTTTCCAATATGTATCTTTAAGATACATATTGTTTAGAGAAAACTCATTCTTTCTTTCTTCAAATGGAAATAATTGCCAGACAATGAAACTTCACAGGTAGTAAGCAGGCTGAATGTATATGACTGCATGCAAAGATCTTTCCTGTTCTTGAGTTCAGAAGACACAAACCAAAGAGAGAAAGTTGGAATATTAAAAATGGAGAAATATTTTATTACATACCCTTTTCCGTCACTTTCTATGGATGATACATGATGATGTGCATTAGTGAGAGATGACTCAAGTATATGTTGCCTTGACAGAACATTCTGATGCTGTGGTAGAAGACCAGTTGATAGTCCATTGTGGTTTGTGCTGGAACTAGTATACATTCCTAAGGAAAGAAAATGTCAATGAAAACTTTTATAGTTCCTCTAAAAAGCATCTTTTAGCACAGATGTTTCAAACAAATTGCAACAGGTTTTTGTCTTGAGGATGAGAATGAAAGTATCTTTCAGATTTTACAACTATAAAATCATGTATATCTTAAATATTTAGAATATAGTATAGAGAAAAACTGAACTAGATCCAATAGATTGTTTCTACTATGCATGGAAAAACAAAGATGGTAAATAAAAATCTTTAACGTGTATTCCCCAGCAACTTATACTAAAAGACACACTGCCTCCAATTTTGGAAATAAGATATAATCATCATTGCTTATAATTACTTATTTGCCATGGAATTATCTAATTTCCCTTTTAAAAGCTCATTAACCTGGTGGAAATAACTAACAGATCCAAGAACAACTGGCTGTAGAGAATAGTTTTCAATGGTTTTTGAATTCACAGTTAAAAGAAAGATTAAAAGTGGATAATAGGATTGGAACTGAATAACAGAAAGCAGAATTTGAGGCTGAACTATGTATAAATGATGAACGTATAACTGCTAAAATGTATAAACTTTTATTGAAATTTAAGCAGCAAAAGAACAAGTGAAACACTGTATGATAAAATGGGCTAACATATGTTTGCACATAATAAACTGATGGAACAATGGGAAAATATGTGATTAAAAGGTTTGACATTTACATTATGTTATAACTTCAGAGAATTTTTATAAAATGATGTACTATTGGTATATGACTCCAGAAAAATTGCCTAGAATGCATAAAAGTACTTCAAATTCATGTAATGTAAAAATTACATAAATTAGAGAATTTATGCTAGAGAGAAGTTCTCTGAAGATAGGCTCCAGCATGAGTCCGAAAGCTCAGAAGACAAAACTTCTGGTCCTGGTGACCAACTCAGATTGGATCATGCAACATTATCTTGGGACATGTATATTCAGACAGAAAATAAATGAGATCAATTTATTTTTGGGTACAAATAAAAATGCAAGAAAGTATTTCTTCCCCTTAGTGAAGAGCAATTTGGAGATAAAAGAACACAAACAAATTATACATGATAACATATAAAAATTTTAATTGCATTGTTTGAATCAAGCCCTAATACACTAAGGAGGGCAACCCATCAGGTGAACTTTAATTGAACCAGCAAGAAGTCAGCTTGTTCTGAAAGGATGTTCACGTATTTAAAGAAAAGGAATCACACAGAGATGAAGCACTGAATTCTGTTCCTTGAAATAACTAAATCTTCATATGCATCACTTAAAGTGAAATTACTGAATAAGCATAAAAGCTCTGCAGCTCTGAACTTACCCAATATTGTTCATGAGGTCAGGTGCCTGCATGGAAAATATGCTTGCCTGAGCTGAAGGTCAAAAGGACGAGGAGAAGGACATTGGAAACACAACGCCAATGCCAAGTCTTTTTATGGTTTAAGGGAGAATTGTTCTTATGATTGGGCAGCTTTGAATCATATTTTTCTGGCAATGTACAGGTAGTCCTCGACTTATAACACTTCATTTAGTAACAGTTCAGAGTTACAACGTCATTGAAAAAAGTGCCTTATCACCATTTTGACACTTATGACCATAATAGCATCCCCATCGTCACATGATCAAAATTCAAATGCTTGGCCACTGGTTCATATTTATGACAATTGCAGTGTCATGTGATTAGCTTTTGTGACTTTCTGACAAGCAAAGTCAATGGGGAAACCAGATTCACTTAACAACCATGTTACTAACTTAACAACTACAGTGATTCGCTTAACAATTGTGGCAAGAAATGTCATAAAATGGGGCAAAACTCACTTAAAAAATGTCTCACTTAGCAATGTAAATGTTGGGATCAATTGTGGTCATGTTGAGGATTGCCTGTGTACCAGCTTTAAAATAATGCCTTAGCAAGCTAACATTGCTAACATCATTTTTATGCATAGACTGTTTTTATTTCTGAATAAATTACAAATAGGATGAAAGTTTTATCAATGCTCATATCAGGAAAGACATATTCAAATTCAGCACCGACCTCTTAAAACCAATCAAGAAATTATATGAACATTAGTAAGAGAGTGTACAACTTTAGTGACTTGTATATCTTTGAATAGTATAAACTAACATCCTTCAAAAGTCAAACTGGTTTCCTGAAACTTGCATTTTTTAATCCCAGTTTGGTCCCTTAATTTTCCTATTAATAGTACTGGCTTTGGAACAAACAGATGGACTTGCACGTGATGTGCATTAGCGCTCTCCACATTTCCATTTTTCCCTCATATTTTTATAAGTGCTCCAACCACAAGCCTTTTCTTAGGGATAAGTCCTTTTTGAGGGAAAGTCCTTTTGAGAACACATGACAAGTTATTACAAGCTGTTAAAGAAAATATTGTTTTACCATTTTATTCTCTGCAGATGGTATAATAGATTCTGCCTCTGTTTCCATTTATATTTCAGACACCTGTGTGATTTCAGGGTATTATAATTTCTTTCTTAGGACATCTTGGTATGCTTAATCCATACACTAACATCCATATGACATTTTAAATTATGTTATATTATATTGTATTACATTATATTGACTGCATTATATTATTATATTTTTCTTATATACCACATTGCTGCTATTTTACTATTTGATTGAAATAGAAATCAAATAAATGTCAAATATAAGAGGTGAAAAAGGAAAAAAAATGCACATGTCCAGATTCCTGAAAAATACAGGTGCTCCCAGAGACATTCACTTCCAGAAAGCTTACACTATCTGAAAAGTTGAAATTCTGAATAAATAAATGAACCAGCTGACATAAATACAGAAGACACTATAGGCAATATCATTTGGAACTTGCTTCTGAATATAACAGTACCACAGCAAACTAAAAATATTTAGGTCTTATAACAATCAGATAAGATGTGCACTAATTGGTGTCTAAAAGTAGTTTGAGGGATGTCCTGCGGATCCTGGCCAAATGGTACATTTAATAATTCAACATAATATGGCAAAAAAATCTTTGATGTAAGTTTGCTAAAAGAAAACTTTGCAAGTAACAAAGTACTTTTATTGGAATAACAATTTGGAAATTAAGACACAATCTTATAGTTATGGAGTGCAATAGGATTTAGCTGAAACACGTGTGCAGAAGTTGGATTATCAAAATTGCTGTTATATCAGCTTTATCATTCATACTACAGATAGCCCTCGATTTATGACAACTGATTCAAACTGATTTCTGTTGCTAAGTAAGGCAGTTGTTAAGTGAGTCATGCCCCATTTTACAACCTTTTTGCCATTATTAAGTGAATCTCTTCAGCTGTTAAGTTAGTAATATGATTGTTAAGTGAATCTGACTTCCCCATTGACTTTGCTTGTGAGAAGTTCACAGAAGCTGATTATATGACTTTGGGGTACCGCAAGCATCATAGATACTTGCCAACCATCTAAATTTTTATCATCTCCATGGGGATGCTGCAACAGTTGTCAGTGAGAAAAACAGTCACAAGTTACTTCAAACTGTCACCAAACGAATGGCTGTAATTTGAGCACTACCTGTATAATAAATTTCATACAAAGAATAAAATTTTAAAAAAGCAGAATACTACAATGGAACTAGGAGCAGAATTAATTCTACTTTAGGAAAGAAAGAAGTTAAGAAATCAATATGGAAATTAAGGAAAATAAATTCATATCTCTTGTTATAAAACAGGACAATTCTATTATAAATAGGTTTGTTTTAAATGGAATCAATTTAGTAAGACTTTGGTCCTTCAGATAGAATTACCTCAAATATTAATAATTTAAAGCTGAGAATTTATACTCTAATCAATAAACTCTTTTGTTTGGAATGCACATGGGTTGTTTATTCTAGAAGTATAGATCTATTAAATTGCTTTCTAGGGATTACATGGTCATAAAAAGAGTGTTTTTATTTAGTATTCACAATTACAAACGTAACTTCAATTTAATTTAATTAATTAATTTTTCTACACTTTTCGGTAAACTTATGTTCTAAGGTTTTTTTTTAGAAGTTTCTTATTCATGGAATGAATTTGCACTATACTGTTAATGTTTTTACAATCAGTTGATTATTTTAACAATTATCATCTATTTGCACATTAAATATTATTTTCCTTTATCTTGTGCAAAAATGGGGCATCCACTGAAATAAAAGATCTTAAGCAGATAGTTCCAAGTAAGGATTACAGTTTTATCTTGTATTTTTAGCATGATGAATTGTTTTGGCTGCTATGCGATATCAAAAAATTATTTTAGCTAATTCTATATAAGAAAAAAAGATTGAGTGTATTAGTTTATAATACAATACAATAATACAATAATACAATAGCAGAGTTGGAAGGGACCTTGGAGGTCATCTAGTCCAACCTCCTGCCTAGGCAGGAAGCTCTATACCGTTCCAGACAAATGGCTATCCAACATCTTCTTAAAGACTTCCAGTGTTGGGGCATTCACAACTTCTGGAGGCAAGCTGTTCCACTGATTAATTGTTCTAACTGTCAGGAAATTTCTGCTCAGTTCTAAGTTGCTTCTCTCCTTGATTAGTTTCCACCCATTGCTTCTTGTTCTACCCTCAGGTGGTTTGGAGAATAGTTTGACTCCCTCTTCTTTGTGGCAACCCCTGAGATATTGGAAAACTGCTATCATGTCTCCCCTAGTCCTTCTTTCTATTAAACTAGACATACCCAGTTCCTGCAACCGTTCTTCATATGTTTTAGTCTCCAGTCCCCTAATCATCTTTGTTGCTCTTCTCTGCACTCTTTCTAGAGTCTCCACATCTTTTGTTCATCGTGGCGACCAAAGCTGAACGCATTATTCCAAGTATGGCCTTACCAAGGCATTATAAAGTGGTATTAACACTTCACATGATCTTGATTCTATCTCTCTGTTTATGCAGCCTAGAACTGTGTTGGCTTTTTTGGCAGCTGCTGCACACTGCTGGCTCATATTTAAATGGTTGTCCATTAGGACTCCAAGATCCC